ACTTAAAAAGTCCAAAAAAGCAGTAAAGGGATTTTTTTTTTTGTATTTTTGTTTGGTTTCTGTTTTGTTTGGATGTGTTTTTTGGTGGGGTTTTTGGTGTTTGGTTTTTTGTTTTGTTTTGCTTTTTTTTTTTTTTTTTTTTTTGGCATTGGCCACATGTCCAGGAGCACTTGCCTCTGTGTGCCCAGGGAAACTGAGGCAGAATCCCAAATCACATCCCTCTGGCTCACACCATCCCAGCACCAGGGTATTTATTGCCTTTGTCCACTCCCACCTCTGCACCCCAAACCCTTCCTGCACCTCCTGGGGAACCCCCCAGGGTATCTCGTTTTCTTCTTTTTCCTCCCCAAAAAATACACCAGGTTTGGTTTCAGGGTTTTGGTTTTTTTTGATTTTTTTTTTTTTTTTGCAACAAAAGAAACTATTTATTTGGAATATGCATTACCAGTACAAATCAGGAAACTGTAAAACCTACACCTTGTTAGTATCGTCATAGAACATAAAAGTTTCAATTGGGATCAGAAAGACAGAGGCCTTTTTTTTCTTTACAGAAGCAGAAAAGTTTCAAAACCAGGTTGGAACAGAGAGTCTTTTTTTTTTTTCCTTTTTTTTAAAGGGTTTTTTTTTTTTTTTTTTTTTTTTTTTTTTTTTTTTTTTTTTAATATTTGGAATCCATTAAGAAGAGAGAAAATAAAAAGATGGGGAGAAAAAAAAATAGAAAAGAAAAAGCAACTCCGAACTGGATCACCTTTACAAGGGATAGAAAGGGCTTTGCAAGAACAAAAAAAGCAAACCGACAAAACCAACCCCCCAGGCAATGTCTGATTTACATCCTCTTAATAATAATAAAATAATAATAATAATAAAGGTGTACGAAAACAAAAGGACTCCAGGAAACCTTGGGATTAAAAGGAACACCCCAAACCCTAAACCGGTCAGTGATGTGAAAAGCTCAGGGCTTTTTTGGGAGGAGCAGGAAAACATTTTAGGAGAAAACCGAAGTGATGCCAACCAGCACCTTCCTCAGCGCTTCTCCCCGAACCCCACTGTGCAGCCACGGGGATTTGGGGCTGGATTTGGGGACGTTCTGGCCACCCCCTGTCGCTGAGACCTCATCCCAGCAAGGTCCGTGGGCGAGATGAGGCTGGAACATTCCTCACCCTGAATCCCTCAGTTTTGGGACACGGGGATTCAGGGAAGAGAACCAAGCACGCACACATTTTGGGAAGGATTCCTGCCCTTTCAACATTCCCAGGCAGCTCAGCAACTCCCCCAGAATGGAGACCCACAGCGGGGCTCAGGGCTTGACTGCCCCCCACCTCCTCCCCAAAACCCCTCGGAATTCTGTAATTCCATCTCTTTCCAGAGATGTGATCCCACTGCTCAGCCCCAGGGCTGGAGCTGGGATCTGAAAGGAGTGGGGAGAAACGGCTCCCCCAAAAACACCACCATCACTTTTCACATCACTGGTCACAGCTCAAAAGCACACGGGAGGTGGCAAGGCCATCGTCTTGGACAGGTCAAAATAAACTCAGCATCATCATCATCATCATCATCATTATCATCATTATCATCATCATCATCATCATCATCAAAGCCCCCTCCCCCCCATCCCAAACAAGGCAAAAAAAAAAAAAACCAACCCAACAAAAAGGTTCATTTCTGGGTCTCAACGTTAAGAAACATAAAGTGTTAGACTGTACCTATTAATGCTCACTATTCCAACCATTTTTTTTCTTTTTAAAGTTTTACAAAATGAATTACCGTCACTTTTTAAACATTGTGTAAGAAGAAATGAGTGTGCACAACTCTACACTTTTCTAGCATTCTTGAACTAATTCACAAATGCGAGAAAATGGAAAAAAAACCAAACCATGGGAAAAAACAAACAAACAAAAAAAAAGGAGGATGAATGTAGGTAGTTTGATGTTATAAACTATACAGGAATGAAGCGCTTGTTGCCACAGGAAGAACAGGGATGGGACCTTCCCCCTGTTCAATTTTGCGTGCTAAGAGGGTCATTTTTTATTCTTTTATTATAAACACTATTAAATTCCGACTGCGTTTTTGGTTTTTTTTTCTCCTTTATCTGAATATACAAGAACATTCATTATCAAATGTTCGTTATCATCAATACTACAAAGAACGAGACACAAATCGCAAGAAACAATGGAAAATGTTAATAAAGCTGAAAGAATCATCGAGTTTTTTTGTGATTTTTTTTTAATTTTTATTTTTTTTGAGTTTCTGCAGGTTTTTTTTTGTTTGTGTTTTTTTATGTTTTTTTGTTTTGTTTTGTTTTTTTTTTTTTTGGTATCGAAGTCAGGTTTTTCTGGGCAGAAAAGAGAAATAATAATAAAAAAAAAAAAAAGAGAAAATAACCCCACAACACTCGGGGCTGGAGCAGGGGAGGAGAATGGGGAGGAGAAACAAAACCCAAAAATTTAAAAAAAAAAAAAATGGCAAAGAAAGAGGCAAGCGAGCAGCTACGCCAACACGAAGTGGAGGGACCAAGTGGGGAACCCAGGAGGGGATTTGCAAAGTACCGTGAGGAGCGAGGGGGAGCAGCAGGGCAGGGGCAGCTGGCTCCAGCAGGCCGTGGTTTGGCTCATTCCCAGCCACATTCCCGCAGGTACAGCACTGCTGGGGCTCAGCAGGACAGGCCTGACCCAGTCCTGTGTCCCTGCAACGCTCTGCCAGGACAGGCTCACGTAAAATCAGCTGGAAGTGGAGAAAAGGCAGCGCTGAGGGAAGCCACGGGAAGACGAGGAGGAAAGTGGGAAGGTGGGCAGCACCTCCTGGCTGTCCTTGCAGGAAAAGAACCTTCTCCATGCTCTTACCACACAGCTGGGAGGCAGCCCTGGGCCCCTCATGCCACATCCTGCTCTGCCACAGGGTCCCCACTCCTAGCACAGATGCAGAAGGAGCAGAAGTGTCACTGCTGGACACACAACACCCCTGTGCTGCAAGGTGACAGCGTGCTGGAGCTGTAGCCACACCACCACCGTGCCCTGCAGGACCGGTGAAATGCTTCCACCTTTTTCCAGCAGATGGGTGGAAGCATTTTTGGCAGAGCTCTAATTTTAAATGGTTTCTGGTTAATGCTGCTCTGTGCTGGCAATTCCCATCTCGAGACCGGCACGAGCAGGGTGGGCATGGACATTCAACAGCGTGAGGTGTTGATCCCAGGGGATCCTGGGATCCATCACCAGGTGCCAGACATCTGCACCCACACCAGTCCCCACCACACCCAGGGGCTTTATGTGGCCTCCTCGAGCCCGCTGAAAGAACCGATGGCCAGAAGTCCCACCCTGGCACAAAGCTCAGCCTGCTGCCCAGGGAAATTGGTGCTGCCTCTTCCTGCTCTTCCATGAAAGCCACATCCTCCCAGCACCAGCCTGAAGGGGCAGGATGAAGCCTCGCTTGCCAGCCGCCACTGCTTGTCCCAAGAGTGGACCAGAAAAGCCGGGCAGAAAGTCCCGTGAGTCCTTCCATGGCCACTGCCCAGGTAACTCCTGGGGTAAAACCAGCAGCTTCAGCACCCAGACATCCCCCAGAGGGGCAGCCACCCGTCCTACAGAGCAAACCTGTGGTGTGAAGAGCTGCCAAAAGCACCCGAAACTCACCCCAGCACCTCCAGCCCCTGGCATTCTGCTGCCCATCCCTCACTGCTGGCTTGGCAGGGCTTTGGGAATGCAGGGGGTGGCACAAACCTCTGTGGGTGCTGCCTGAACTGGGGAACCCAGCTCCTCCTGTAAACAGGAGCCAACACCCCGTGGCACTGCCCTGAGCAGAACTCCACCACCAGCCTCTCCAGCCTCTGAGAGAACTGCTGGTGCCCCATCAGCCATCCATGCCTGATCCCACACAGCTCCGTGGAGGTGTTATCTGTATTATCTCACCTGCCTCTGCCTCCCTTCCTTCCCTCCTCCTCTCTCCAGCAACAGGCAGGCAGGAGAGCAGGGTTCCAGGGCTCATCCAGATCACAGCAGCCAGCAGGAGGGATGCATGGCCGAGTAGGGCTGGCACTGGAAGTTTCCCCAGGGCTGGCAATGGGAACGGTACCTTTTGGAAGCGAGGGGGAGCACGCTGGCTCCTCCTACGTGCACGGGGGCTGTGCCACCTGCCCTGTCCCTGCAGCAGCCCGGGGACAGCTCCCCGGGGCAGGGCTGAGTGCAGGAAGCTGCAGAGATGAGGCGGGAGCAGATTCCCCACGGGGGCAATTCCCTACGAGAGGTAGCGTGAAAGGAAGGGTGGCAGGGGCTGCCTGCTAGGAGGGAGCGATACGTGACTGAGGTACATTTGTAGCCCCTCAGAAAGACACCCAGCATGAGGCTGTACACTGCTCTGGGGGTGGTTTGCATGGTGGTGGTGGTGGATTTTTGCTTTTCCTCCTTAAAATCCTTCTACCTCGGGTGGGAAGCGGGGAGGGGAAGGGAGCGGTGTTGTGGCGGTGGTGGGGAGGGGGAGAGCGGCTTCTACCCAGAAAAGAAAGGGAAGAGAGTATAAAGAAGTGTCCAGATTGGCTGAAAAAAGCATCCCGACGAAGAGAAGAGAAGAGAAGGAGTCTTCTTGTGTGTGCTGATTGGGTTCACCTCCAGTCTGACTGCTGCGGTGTTAGGAGAGGCCCCTCCTCTCCCGCCCCCGCCGGGGCCGGCTCAGCCAGGGATGCAATTTGCTGGGAGATCAGTTGGAGGTATCAGAGTGAACGCTGCCAGGGCCTTCTGTGGGGGAGGTCACCGACGATGGGGTAGTAGCGTCTTGCCAACCTCCATTAGCCTGAAGGAAGGGACACACAGAGACGTCAGTCACTCACCCGATGGCAAGGCACAGGCAGCCCTACACAAGGCACCCATCCACCTCACCTCGTCCCCGCTTCTCTCTCAGCTGGGATTGGTGTAGGAGGCAGAGATGTCCCCTCTGACTCCCCCATCCCACCCCAGACTACAGGGCTCCATCAGGCTCCATCACAGAGCAGAAACATTTCTGCTGAAAACAGATTTTGATAAAGTGCAAGCGCTCACGGAAAGTCCATCCCTAAAAAAACCCAACATATTTCTCCAGAACCCTGAGCTCTGGTTGTTTGGGGTTTTTTAACCTGATCATAACTCTTCCTGATTATAACTCTTCCTCATATGGAAGAAATAAAATAACAAACACTTCAGAATCAGCAGCCTGAATGTTACCTGAACCCAAGTGCTATGAATATGCAGAACAAGCAATAGGTCCCATGGAACTGCTGAGCTGTGCCGTGTTCCCCGGAAAAGCTCCACATCCCCGCCTCATCGAGGGAAACCGAGCCACAGCTCGACAGAGGTGCCAACACTATATCCCATCTGAGGGTTCATGCAGCAAACCATGGCAGACAACTTGTTTCTTCTCCTAAAAACAGATGCAGAGCCAAATCCTCCAGGCACTCCAGAGCTGAGCTACTGGAGGGCCCCGGCTGCCGCGGGCAGGAGCCGGCAGCGCACAGAAGCTGCTCCTCTGCCGCTGCCATCCCCTTCGGAGAGGAGCAGATGTCACACCCAACCTCCTCTGCTTGCTCTGACATTGATTCAGTGCTTGGCAAATTAATCCTTCCCAAGCTCTGCCCAGGCTCCAGTTGGCAGCAGGCGCTGTCCCGCTTTAGACACGCCCGGGCTGCTTTGCCCACTCTGGCTGCCTGTCCCACTGCCTGCTGCATCATCCAGGGCCAGCTGGGACCCTGCACACCCCAGAGGGCTGAGGGTAGGAAAACTCCCCACCCCAAGGATACCTGAGGTTTTAAGTTTTTCTGTTCTGCTTTGGTGTGCAGCTTTTAGCTTTATGTTAAGTGTTACTGGGATCTTTTTCACAGGGTGGTGAAGACAAAACATTCCTGTTCTAGCTGGAGACTGAAGGACAATCTCTTCAAACTTCAGGCCCAAAGCATAATCAACGTGAGAAGAGGAGGGAGGGCAAGCAAGCAAGGAGGATGAAACTTCATAACTTGAAGCTATTAATTGGATAGTTAACTCCTGTATGCAAATGGACTAAAACTTATAAAAATGTGAGATCTTGTGACCAAGCTCTCTTTTGTTTCCATCTTGGCCATGACTGTGGCGCCAGTACTGCCAGGGTGTGGCCTTTGAAGGCACTTTAATAAATATCCACTTTATTCCTCTTAACTCCATCTAACCTCTGTTCCAGCTCCTTAGGGCATCACCGAGGTGCTGCTGCCCAGCTCCTGCCTGTCTGAGAGGCTGCTGGGCTGGGAGCAAAGAGCTGACAGGCACGAGAACCCACATTTGAGGAGACACACCACCTCACAGCGGGACACACACAGAGCAAACAAGACCAGAGGTGTGTGCACACCCCTTGCTGTGCCCGTGTGCTCTGCTATATGTGCAAGGCAGCAGAGGGGTTCAGGCAACAGCAAGGAAAGCAGGAATCACAACCTCAGCTGGCTCACAGGCCAGTAAACCCCACTCTGCTCCAGACGATGCAGGAGCATCACCAGCCCCGTGTGCCCCATTCCCACTGCCCCCACCAGCTCCCACCCACAGCCAGGCCCTGACCCCCCATCCCTGCGCTCCCCAAGAGGCAATATCCACCCTTACACATCTTGGACTGCTGCAAGAGGCAGCAATTACCGTAGATTATCAGCCCGACAATGACAGGCCGCGTAAAGAGAGACACAGAGCCAACTCCGCCGCCCCGAGACTGGCATATTCAAGTACACTTAGGACATTAATAGCAATTTACGTGCCATCAGTGAGAGAGAACCACAATAGCTGTGCTGGCAGCCTCTTATTACCAAGCCTGTTATTTGTTGGAGTTACAAGCTATAATCACAACAGAAACTTTCAAAACCCTTATCTTCCGTGACGCACCAAATCTATTTCAGAGCCGTAATTGCTATGTCACCGGAGAGTTTGCTGCTTAATGCACTCAGATGCCATTTAGTGTTTGCAGGGTCGTTACGGCGAGCAGGAGGGGGGAGAGTGGTGGGGGCCATGTGGAGCAGGGCTCTGGCCCTATTGTGCTCAACTATTTTTAGCGAGGCTTTTGCCTGCCAGCCGCAGAAGCGACCGAGCGGCGGCTTCACGTTCAGCACCCAAAATCCTTGGAAGGTACTGCGCACTGGGAATGAGCCCTCCCGTGCTTCAGGAATTTGTGTGGCTGAATACAACCTTGGTGGCATCCAGTGGGAAGTCGAGGGAATGTTGGGGAGAAGCCAGTGTGGCCTGGTAAGTTGTGGGTCAAGTGGTAGAAAGGAGCACCCAAGGTTGGCTGTGACACCTTCACACCATCCTTTGGTACGGAAAAGTCCTCCATGAGGAGGTTGGATCCTTCCCCAGGCAGAGGGCATGCAGGCCCCATCCCCACTCATCCTGGAGTTCACTCCACCGCTGCATGGACCAAGCCACATGTGGGATTCATCCAGTTCCACCCAGATGGCTCTACCTCTTCCAAGCAAGGAGATCCCCTGGGGTTTGACTGTAGTAAATCAGTCGGGATCTCCCTCAAAGACAATGGAATCTTTTGAGGAGGCTGCTCCTCCTTGCAGAGCCCCTGCACCTTCTGGTGCCAAAGCACAGGCAAAGCCTTGGAGACTGTCCAAAAATGGAGCCCCAGTGAAAGACTGCTGAAGCAACTGGTTTTGATGCCCAGTTCCACAGGTCTCAGCATTTTTGTCACCTCCAGCAAGTCTGGCTGGCTCCCTGCCCGGGCCTCCTACATGGGGCTGGGAGATGACTTTCTGCCAATTTTTAAAGGCGCCTTCTGCTTAGCAAGGAGGCTGTCTCAGCACCCCACCTCCTGTGACCAAATCCCTGTCCCACCAACAATGGCACAGGGCATCAGGTCAGCCTCCAAACACACCAGCTACCACCCAGTCTGACAGAGCAGCTTCAACGCCTTTTCAGACCTCTGAGCTTGTAAGAGCTTTTATCAGGGCCTCCTTACAACATGCACTGAAGGACTTAACACACAGCAGAGAATCCAGCCTGGTCAGGACATCCCTTCCCAAGGGTCATGGCCAGGCACCCCCGGCCATCAGAACACACCAAGGCATCCCGTCTGGATGGAGCCTGTGCACTGATGTCCTGCCAGACCAACCCCAGCTGGTGGTCATGAACATGAACCAAAACTTGACCATGATGGTGAACTGCAGCTGGCTGAGGAACAGAGCAACAACTTTTTTCCCAAGGCTCAACTTTTTAGAACAAAAGATCTCTGGTCAAGTAAGGAGCTCTCAGCTTCTTCCTCTACCAATCCTTGCTCATGAGAGTGGATCCAAAACTCCCTGTCACACCTGCCACTGGCCACCCCCATCCAGGTGACACACACACTGCTCTGTGAATAGGCACACATCTGCAGAGCCCCTGCACATGGCTGTGACTTCTTCAGGAGGGGCAGATGCCAAAGACAGAGCAGTGGTCTCCAGGACACCTCTTCAGATGTCAGTTTTAAATCAAAACCTTCACTTTCTGATGAACTTAAGAACAACTCGTAATTTCACATGTTTAAATCATCTGTAAATTAAATTAAGTCCAAACCCAAATTTCTGAAAGGGCTTTAAGATGACTACAGTTCACTCATTCATTAGCATATGGGGGAAGGAGAACACTTGGGAGATTTACAGTCATAGGCCAGTGGCAGGAAAGGTGATGTTTTGGGGTAGGACCCTCTAGAGGTCTGTGGCAATAAATATCCAACTTCTACTGGAACCCAAAAGAACCTGGGCTTTCCTAAATGCTTTGAAATCCCTGGTTTTGGGATTTTCTCCTGGATACACATATGGACCCCTCATGAATAAATACTGCCCAGACAGCCCAGACACTTAACAAGTCTCACCTCATGGTGCAAAAACCTACAGCCTCCAAGTTTGCCAGAAGGGCTCACACCCCAAACCTCCTGAAAGGAGAGGAGGTCCCTGCTTCTTCTCAGTGTGACCCAAGGCTGGGTATCCACAGGACAGCTCCTCTCCACCATCCCTCCACTGTCAGAGCGTCCTCATCCCTTGCTGGGACCAGTGCAGTCCCCACCTGTGGAGGAGAAGGCTCTGCTCTCCCCCTGCCTCAGCTGCGGGTCGCAGCGCTGGCGATGGCTGGGACATTGCCCATTATCCTGCTAACGATGCAGAACCGACTCCAGCCCTTCCTTCCTGGCAGAGCAGCCTGTCAGCCACAGCAGCAGAGCCTCGCAGGGAACTGGGCTTTGGGTAGATCCCTCTTCTCAGCTGTCACAACTTACACGTGTTTAAAAATTCATCCTCCATCAAGGAAGGCAAACCCCGAGCGTTGTCTGCCCTGCCAAGGTTTCCAGCAGTGGAGCTGGGCAACCTGCCGCTGACTTCCTGGTGCTGACGGGCTCCAGGGATGGCTTCACCTCAGCCCCGTGCAGACATCGTTGTGACAGGGCTCTTGACTAGGTTTCGGCTCATCTCCTTCCAGCAGCTCGCGAGGATGCTCGGGTGATGTGGGGACGGCAGCTTTCCATGTCACAATCAGCTCTGCTCCGCATTCTGCTGCCCCTCCTCGGCATGAAAGGGTTCAGGGAAAGGCAGGGAAGCCCTGCCTGTTGGAGACAGTCACCCTGCCTGCACTGAGGACTTCCCCAGCACCAATGCTTCCAAAAGGGCAGCAGCACCTCAGGGTGGACAAACTGGGATCCATCAAGGGACCTCACCGAATGGGAAGACATTAAGTGACAATCAGGCTGGAGCACACTGGCTGGGATACAGGGGAAACAAACAGGCAATCCAGAAGATGCTTCCTAAATGGTCTGCTCAGCTCTGGACTCCCTGCCTCATTTCCCATGCCTACCACAGCTTTATGGGGAATTGAGTCACCCACACAGTGCAGTCCCTTTGCCAACCTGCCCCTCTTTTGACAACATCCAATATGGGCCAGTTTGGGCTCTTGCCCTCCCTGAAAACCAGCCTGAGAAGACATCAGATGCCAAACATGCCAGGTCCCTGTTTGGGACACACAGAGGGAACTGCCAAGCCCCTGCTACTCTCAGTTTACCAGCTCTGATTGCTATTCACGGGAACATTGGTTCTTCTACAGAGAACCACAGCCAGAAACACCAGCACAGCTCTCCTTGTCCTATTCAGCTTTTGAGTTTTCGCTCTCTTTTCCTTCTTCTCTCCCCAATCACCCCCTCCCTGCCTCAAAATCCCTGGCAGCAACTCTCCCCCTCAGATTTTGGCTTGACCCAGCCCACTGTTATTTTCCAAGCCAACTGCAACTGTAATCAGCTCAGCCTCTTTCCTTGGGGGTATTTTAATTTATACAAAAGTATCATCTCTTATCATGATCAGCCTGCGATTCATTTACTCTCCAAGTATTAAAAAGCCAGAAAGGGAATAAATTCAGCACACGGAGAAATTAATGCAGAACGATAGGCTCTTTCATGTGGCATTTCCAAGTGCTGTTTTTGCAAGGGGCTTATGTAATGAGACATAATTATCTGCACATGTTCAATTACATTACTTCACAAATCCTCCCTGCCTCTGCCTCCTGACGTCAAGCCGCCCACTAAGCCCCAGCGCCTGCAGGAGAGGGGAGCAGAGCCCCCTGTCCCAGGGCACCCCTCTCCTTGTGCCCTCTCTGCATACTGGTGGTGGCCGTCCCGCAAGATGGTCACACGCCAGGTGACAAATGGCCCAGCGCACTGGAGAGTGATGGGACTGGCTGGTGACGGCACCGTGCTGGGGTCTCGGCTGCAGGACCACCATCCCACCCAGAGGATCATCACCTCTCTGACCAGTTCAAGACCACCCTATCTCAACCATCAGCATCCCCATGTCCAGGGCAGCTGCCCCCTCCTCTGTGCCACCCCAGACACCACTGCCACCACCCACTCAGCGCTCACAGCCTACTTTTCCAGGCTGCCCTCCTCTCCCAGCTTGCTGTCACTGCCGCTGAGATGGCGGACGATTGATCTGAGAAATGAAGTTGGATTGCTGTCCCGAATCTACACTGGGTTCTCCTTGTGTGTGTCTGATCGATTTCCCCCTGTGCGACACAGCTTGTCGCTACGAATTTTCATGCTAGTCAGAACCCGCCAGCGCACCCAAGAACAAGGAGAAGATGCTCCAGAGACCGCCCTCCCCCTCGCATCCTCCCCCAGCCCGCTTGGGCGAGGTTTTCTTGGGTTGATGTTGGTTGGCTTTGTGGGTTTTTTTCCTCCGTTTATTCGCAACCGCCATCACCACCAACCCCATCGCCGCTGCGCTCTCGGACCCTGGCCAGGGATGGGTTATTTTTAGCCGGGCGCTCCAGGATGGTGCCACCGGGATGGAGCCACCTCTGGGCCGGGGCGTTTGCGGTGACATTCCCCACCATGGCTGCACGAGGTGTCACCTGTTTAGCAGCTCCTCTGGGCCGAGCGCGCGTGGCCGCAGGTGCCGGGCGAACGCTGATGGGCTGTGACAGTCCGAACGCCAGCTGCCTGCACGCAGCCTGCCCCGCCGCCACTTTTTTTGTGGGCAAAGCTCCGCCGCTGGCGTGACCGATACAGAAGCAATAAACTAGGTGACCGTAAAAGCAAAGACAAGTCCTACTAAGTGGCATTCTGAGCCCTATGGCTTTGAAATAATTGGTAGTGAGAGAACAAAAATGAAAGGAAAAAACCCCCAAAGACCAGAACCCAAGCCCATTTTTTTTTCTTACACTGATGCCCTGCGGACTATACATCTGACTTGCCGCGAGTCCGTCACTGTATCCTCCTGTCTGGCTGATAACATGGCGAAGGGTATCCACCTAAACAGACCAACGACAACAAAGACACAAATTAGAGGGAAGGAAAGGTTCGTGGCCAAAGCTGCTTCCGTTCATCTTTGGCAAGATAAAAGCAAACAAACCAGAATAACAATGATCATGGTCATCACCGTAATAAAAATAAAGGTACACATTCGAAGAGGGATAAAAGAGAACCGCAGCTGGTCTTGTGGAGAGAAATGAACCAGAGGACCTCTCCTGTCTCCCTAACCATCCCCTGCCCGCCCCGGCAGCCCTGTCACACTCTCCTTGGTCCCATGTCCTTTGACAGAAAGAGTGGGGAGGGACAACAGCAAGACAATGTGGGGCAGCATCTCCTGGAGCACGTCATTGCAGCCATCTCCTCCATCTCCTCTAAGGACCCACCTTCCTACCCCTACCCCGTTCCACCCCTGACCCCAAGCACTGCTCACGGCAGCAGAAGGAGATCTTTGGAGTTGGATGAATGCCTCCACAGTGAAGGGCCCAGAAAGGAAATATACCTACCATGGCAAAGGCACCAGCAGCTCTCCTCTGGGTGCCCTGTTCCTCTCCCTCACACCCCCAGCCCAGCCTCAGCAGTGGCACACGTGGTGAGCACGTCTCACCGCCCATGGATGATGTGTGCTCCACGTCCAACCCCATGGGGGAGCAGCCTCAGCTTTACAGAGTTCTCCTTGCCCAATGCAGAAGTGTCAGAGTGGCTGTTGTCTCTCAGCACAGAACAGAGCCTCACATGCCTGAGAGGGGACTCATGGCATGTCTGGACATCGGATGGGAGGTGGGAGAGCTGAGTGAGATCATGGCAATTTTAAATTCTTTCTTTTGGCCCCAAGCATGGGTTGACGTTTCAGCATTGCTGCTCAAAGCTCCCTTGCTCTCTCCTCCTGGCATGTACAGGGGTGGTGTGAGTGCCTGTGCTCTGGGGAGTTGGTCAAGGGTGGCTTTTAATTGTAAAAAAATAAATTTAAAAAAAAAATCTACATATTTGAACATTTATTGCCTTTCAGCAGACACCTAGCTTGGCATCAAAGGAGTAAGTGGAAGTCTTGAAAAATGAGACACCAGTCCAGACATCTGGCCCATTCCCTTGGAAGAATAAAGCAAGAAGAACCTAAACCTGAGCTGCTTTTGCTTGACTTTGTGCCTATTCTTCTACACCTTCTCTCCTCTTAGTATGACTATCAAGCCAGAGCCAAATGCATTCACAAAGTGTGGGCAAGTCTCCTCAAGACCATGGTTGTTGGTTTGGTTGGGTGTTTGGTTTTGGTTTCTTTTGGATTGTTTTTTTGTTTGGTTTTTTTTTTGTTTTTTCTTTTTTTGGTGGTTGCTCCTGTTGCTTTTTTTTTTTTTTTTTTTTTTTTTTGTCGGTTGGTTTTTTGGTTTGGTTTGCCTTTTTTTTAAGTGTTGGTTGGTTGATTTGTGCTGGTTGAGATTTGCTCTTTTCAGACGGGAGGGAGAAGTGCCAATACAATCAAAGGCTCCTCCAACACTAATGCATTCACTGGCAGTACATCGGATGGGTCCCTACCTGTGACTGCACGTTGGCTCCAACCTGGGCCCCTTGGTAAGAATCCCCATTGAGAGACTGCACGCTCATGAACAAATCTCCAGAGTTTGACATGTTAAAAGAACTGGAAGAACCTGGAAAGGAAAGAGTGAGGCACCTGAATCACAGAAAGGAAAAAGATCCACCCCATGACTCTCAGCCAAGAGGAAGGAACAACATGCAAAGCAACCACAAAAACAAAACACACAGTCAGGTTAGTAGTATGAAGAACAGAGCAAGCCCAAAAAAAAAAAAAAAAAAAAAAAAAAGATGCACTCTTGAGGTTATTCAAAGCCACATGTTGTTACAGCTCAATGCCAAGAACATTCTTCAACAGCTCCTCAGCTGGAGGAAGGATTCTTCATGCTTTTGACTGAGGCAAACAAAGCACAGCCTGGAGGACTCAGACAGCATCAGAATCCTTCAAACAGCTCTGAAGGATCTCGTTGTTGGAGGTGTCCACCCAGCAGACTGCACTGGAGACCAGAATTACCCAGACAAGCCCTGCTATCAAGAGCAGAAGCCTTTGCAGCAGGTGAACCAAGCCCATGCTGAGCAGCTCAGACAGGGTGGGTAATTCTAGCCCATACTGCTCCCTGCAGGGTGAGACATCCAGAGCCCATCCAGCCCCATGGCTGGAGCTTTGGCTGAGCCATGTGGGGCTCTGTGAGGGAGTGGTGCATGGGGTTTGCCTTCAGGATATCAGGAACCCATCACTGGTGGGAACTGCAGAGCACCAGGAGCAAAGGCTCACAAAAATGTGGAGGCACCTGGGTTAGACTCCCAGTGCCCATCACGCTGGCAAAAGTCTTTCACTGTGATGGCCCATGAGAGAACACAAGGGTGTCACAGCCCTCCTGGGCCAGCTGCCCCAGAAGAACAAGCTCACAAGCTCTTGTAAGCAAATTCCCCACTGCATGCACCAGCCGTCAATGTTACGCTAAAAAATTGTAACAGTAAAGACAACTGGGTGGGATCAGGAAGAAAAAAAAAAAAATCACAAATGAAAAGAAAAAATAAATCCTGCCTTTGCAGAAATGAAAGTTTTATGCTTCCAGCTTTGAGATATCTGAGCACTTCCTCAACCACTGAACAGAAGAAACAAACCCATCATGTAACTGTAAGGCAGGGAAGGCAGCAAGGGGGTTAAAAATAAATAAAAAGGTTTTATGGGATTATTTCAGAATTTATCGTGCAGATCAGCGCATTAAGTGTGAGACAGCTCAACGTGCAAGGTTTAGTTATACATGACGTTAGCCTTGGAAAGGAGAGACTTCAGGGGCCCAGGTCAGCTACGCTTTCAGCTCCAGTCCCAAATATATACTCTCATCATCTACACTGCCATTTCCAGCTTGGAAGACTGGCAACCACAGTCCTGGTGGAATTGCCCAACTATGGCTCATGCGTATGCTCTGGGAAATGCCTGGCAATCCCCCTCCCCTAGACAGGGAATAAACAGGGACAGACCCCAGTTGTGCTCTGGACCAGGAAGGCTCATTGAAGGAAGTCACATCTGACACAGGTCAGGGAGCAGGTGGGAGGTCTATGCTGGCGGCTTCGTGTTCACTACATTCTCTGCTGCTATCTTAGTGACCAGCTCTTTTGTCAGGCGCTGGCAGTTCTCAGAATCCAAGGAAAGCAGAAACATCACTGCTAGATACAGCACCCAAGAGAGTCAAGAGAAAGACTCATCTTGAGCACAGTGAGTCTTGGATCAGGAGACCCTCCCACTGCTGCTCTGTGAAGCCAGGAATAGCTCATTGTCTGTGCTCACTGTCAACCTGCCCAGCCTGTTCCAGAGAGCAATCCCACAGCGCTGTGTAAAATAACCGGGACTAGTCAGGAGGCAGCTGTAACCATCACCTCCTCTGCTCAGCTGGCAAAGGGCTCCTGTCACTTCCCGACCTCCCAGGTTACTTTGCCATTTTAAAGGCAAGAAACCTAGAGAAATGAGGTGGCAGACTGGGGCCAGCCCATCCTGACAGTGCTCAACTTTAAGCGTGAAGATGGGCACGTTTCACACACACAAAGATGCTTCCGACCCTGTTTTCTGAGTGATTGCCTCGTAAAAGCAGAGGGCAGTAACACAGCTTTGTCCTCCCACAGTGGCTGAGAATCAAAAGACTCTGCAGTTACCCCTCAAAAGAAGCAGAGAATATTTCCCTCCTCTTTTGAGGTGAGCAGAAATCTTTGAGATCACAGAAATGATCAGTGGCAGAGCTGGAGAGAGGACTCCGGAATCCCTAAGCACCTGGCATGGCACTGCTATCTCTCTGCCCCCAGCTGAGCAACATTTCATCCCACCTTCCCCTACCAAAAGAAAATTACAACAACAATAACAAATAAAAATGCCATAAACTTAACTGATATTTTATTGAAACTTAACAAACCTGCCCATAAAATTGAGACTGGGAGGGAGGAAATAAAAACAAACAAACAGCCACAAACTCTAGTTCTGAAGAGCGACGGTGTCTCGGAAATCATGAGGAGCGCTGGAAATGTCACTTACAAGATATACACTGCTATTGGCAAGGGGTGTTTTTACAATATATGTGCATATCTAAACGGTAAATATGTCTTGCTGCTGATGTGGATGCAGAGATAAATATGCGCATACCAATGGCCCCGCATGTATGGATGCATTTGGATCAGAGCTGTAATTGCGCTGCTGCTTCAGCACTCGGCTGGCTGCGCACCCACCACGCCCCAAAATCACAGCGGCCCCAAGTCTGACACACAGCTAAGAGGGGCTGATGCACCCAGCTGGGAGAGGGGTGTGAAGAGCCCTGAGAATTTAGACTCCACAGAGATCCAGGAATACAAGTCAAGTCCTTCCACTAAAGGAGGCCCCACTGTAAATCTAACCCGCCCCTCTGAAAGGTTCTTTTCCTGAATGCACCACAGGCTTTTTTGGTGGTCTGGGGCTCCTCAGGAACTGAGGTTGTGAATGAGAGAAGCTCATCTTTGAGCCTGTGAGCCCAGAAGGAAAGCACTCTGATCTTGGCGTGGGAAGTCCCTGGAATTATTGTGGGTAGATAAAAAAACTTATCAGAAAACCCACGACTTGCAGCAGTGTGGAAGAGTGTCTCATCTTCAGCATCCAGACATCTTTTTTAAAACCAGGACCAATCCCCAGTATTACTTGGTTTTGAGTTTCTATCAGGGCAGCACCTGCTTTAGAAAGAATGCTGGCAATGTCTGAGCAAACTCTGGCAGTCAAATCTTCCCCTGGGTGAAAGCCTACATCAAAACCTTCTAAGAGATTTCTTCCATCCCTAACACCTCTGATGAGCAAAGCCCACCTCAAATTTGCCTCCATTTCAAAAATCTTCACAAACTTGACTGCTGGTATTTCTT